CAAGGCCTGGTTATCACTGGATATCCTGCTCCCAGTGCCAGCTGTAGAACTCCTTTGTCTCCAGTCTCAGCATGTCCCACACTAAACTCACCAGTTCTCAGGTACTCCTTGCAGGAGGGGGTTGGGTGGGTTGCTGAGACATCTCTTTAGTTCATCAGCAGATGTCGTTCAACTCTCAGATGCCACAAGACAGACAACAGATATGCTGAGTGCCAAAGTCCAAGCTGATCTCTTGGATTGTTCGAGACAAGCAGTGTACATCCTGAATGCGAGGACCCATCTGCCCAGTTGTTGATCCATCTCCACCACAGGGGATAATATGTACTGGGGCAAGAATACAGTAGATTATACTCTTCTAACAGAAAGAAATAATTGTTTTATGTTTATCTTTACAAATAGACCACAAACAAACTGAAAATACAGAGGAGAGAGATACCTCAAGCAGAGTCTGTGGGAACCCAGGACTACAAGCATCTTGTGCTGAGAGGATTAAGTAGCAGCAGCAGCAGGGCTCTCAGAGCACTAGTCCACACACTCTGATATGTCAGGGTGTCAGGAGCCAGATAGGAACCTGAGCTGGGTGAGGTAGAGGAGAGGGGAGTCTGCAGAGGAGAGCCTGTATAATTTTGAACAGAGAGCTGTCTCCTTCCCTGTACAATTGCCTACTCTGTTCAGAGCCAGCTGTGGTGATTGTAAAAGCACCACACCATTTTCTTTTGTAAGCATGTTTCTCTCTATAAGTGCATATGATCTCTATAAATAGCAAATGAACAGTGTTTCAGTCCCAACAGACCAGGAAGTGACTGTCATTGAACTAGAGCTTTCATGAGCTTAGTAGCTGGCAACTGTCTTCACTTGGCTAACGTGGAAGAAAAGAGACCTCATAAGATCGAGGCAAATTTGCCAGAGTGCTGACTAATGGGGAAATGTCAACGTTCTTGGGATCCACAACAGATTTCAAAGTAAAGTTCTGCAGGATGGATGTTAAAAATATGAATATCTCCATCCGAGCCAGACCTTCTCCTGCACAGATGCGTTTTCCTGCAAGCAAAACATAATAAAAAGTGAGGTGACAGTGGAGTGTTTTGTTGATAACTTATTTTAACCAGTGTTCCTTGAAAGTTCAGACATCTCAACATGGACAAGCAGCATTGCAGCATTTTGGGGACATCAATGAATGTAACTAGGGGGTGTCTAGAACAAGATATGAATGCTCAGTGGGCAATGACATTTTGAAGGCTTCAGTTTCTCATGTTCTGCTGCTGTTTGATGGTAATTTTGGAGAGAGAGGTTGCATGGCTGAGTCCCACTTCAAATTACTCCTCTTGTAGAATGCATTGGAGGAGCTTTTGTGTTTGCTAAAAATGGATGTAAACTGAAATGCTAGTACAGGGTTTAGAGCTGCCCAGAAGTGATACTAGCAGATCACCAGGCATCACTGTACAGACCACAGTGACAGAGCCACTAAAATCTTCATAGAGGTTCTAGGGGAGCATAGTCTAGGATCTGAAACAGAAGGAGCTCTTACCTGCAGAAAATGGCATGAAGCAGTCACTCTTTTTAAAGGTACCATTTGCATTCAGGAAATGTCCTGGATCAAATTTTTCTGGATTTGGAAATTCCTTGCTATCATGTAGGACGGAAGTCAGCATAGGGAATATCGTGGTACCCTGAATTAACAAAGAGAAGAAAGTTAAACCGGAGGTATGCTGAAGAGTAGTCAAAGTTTAACCAATTTATATGAGGGTGAATCTGTTTTGAGTATAAAAATTGCTTCCAAATACTTTAGAACTTTGATTGCTTACATTTCCATGAAAAAAAAAATAATTAGAAAGCTCCATCTTCCTTCTTCACATAAATGATGAAAAATATTTTCTTTTTTCCAAGTACAAGGAGTTTGACTCAATAACTTCCAGAATCCCTTTCCAAATGAAATTATTCCAATTCTAGATCACATTTCAGTGTGTTTGAAAACAAAACTAAATACAATTAATAAACCTTTCTCAGCCACAGTGGAACAGACCTTGGGGATAAAATAATCTCTGAACTTAGTGTCCCTGATGACAGCATGTGGGACATTAAATGGAAGGAAATCAATGAATCTCTGGATTTCATGGATCACAGCATCTGTGTAGGGCATCTGGCTCCGATCTGCCATGCAGGGGCTTCGGTCTCGGCCAATCACATGGTCAATCTCCTCTTGAACTTTCTCTGTTAGGAAATAAGTTAGGTGTTGAATGGACAAGTCCTCTATTTGTTTGCCTAAATCCCTCCCCATACATACAGCAAAACTTGCTTTTAGTGCACCAGGATTATATGAACATAGTACCAATACATCTTTTCTGTGAATAGAACTAAGACTGGTAGACATCTCCACACTGCAAATACATGTTTCCTTCGTCAGGGAACAATTGCCATGTGCTGTAGTGACAGGAATTGTCCTGACCGATCCTATGCCCTATTAAAAAGTTTTTTATTATTTATTTCTTTTTTTATTACCTACTATCTCTGGGTATTTCTGGAGGATCACAATTCCATATCTCAGTGTGGTGCTGGTTGTCCCTGTTCCTGCAAGGAACAAGTCGAGCGTGGTTCTGCTCAAAGAGCCAACGGTGAAGTTTGAGTGAGCATTCCCTTTCTCCTAGAGGAAGAGTTGGCAGAATGTTTTGAATGACAAAACTAAGCAGCCTGTTTAAAAGCCCTATACCCATAGTGTATTTTTTAGACACTTCTAATGTCCTTTCAAACAAAGGACACTCACTGCCCAGAACACCAGCATTTATAGTACTTTTACTGAATAATATTATGAACCTTTTTTAGTATGGGAGGAACATTGAATTACATCAACCAGATTGGTCTTCAGCTTTCCTAACTTTGGTTGCTGTTAATTCTGTGTTTAAAAATCCTTAATAAGAAAATGGAGAGGATCAAATGAAGCTCATGTGCCAACAATGGCAAATTCGCCTCTGTATTTGCAAAATCCCGATGCCCTGTCACAACTGAAAAGAAGCTGGGATTCAAACTATGGTTTTCCTATAATTGAATAAATCTCTTGCTCTTAACTTACCTGGTCAATTTTGTTAAGAAAAGCATCAATAAAATCTCGAGGACAACTGGGATCCCGAGTTTCCTGGTGCTCTGCTATGATTTCTAAAGTGAATTTATCAACTTGTTCAACATTTTTCATCAGTTTTTTATGAGGGCCAGGTAAAATCTCCATGAGAGTTGGGAAGAAATTGTATAGCTGTAAAAATAAAAGTATGGAAAAGCACATTGTGATTCATGTGGCTATAATAAAATGTTCTCCTAACTGTAACTATGCAAATGAGGCAATTATACTGTTTTGCAACAGTAGGGGTTTTTTAATTCAACTAGGCTTTAGTGCTTTTTACTACTTCATGGTTTTTCTGTATTCTAGGATACACTTCACTTGTGCAAATTTTGCAATTCTATCCTTAGTTGGACATAAAATGGCAATGCCATAAGGTAAAAAAAAAATAAAAAAATATTGGTTATTTAACTGTCTTTTTGGCTTTCAAAAAATGTCTCAAAATTTAGGAAATTTCACCCCAATTAAAAATAGTAAAGTAAACAAATATTCAGTAATAAAATATTATCATCATTAACACAATTATTAATTAAATTAAAATGTACACACCTGTGTTTGTATAGAGCCCTGGAGCTTGTTGTTTTCATCTAGCAACTCAATCAGAGTTAGAAATTTCTTGTCTTCATAGTCAAACCGATCCCCAAAGATGACTGAGCAGATGATGTTGGAAACAGCATGGGTAAGGAATTTGACAGGGTCGAAGGGTCGCCCTGCAACAAAAAAACACCCCATCATATCCTGCTTTCAGTCTTTGAGTCATCATTCCCTCCTCTGACACTACAGAGATGTTTTGCATTCACTTGAGACCCAGAGTTTTGCAGTCCTTTGAGAGAATTGTGAAGGGCTTATTCAATTTATTCTTTCTTTTCTACTTGAAGTGAACTAATTTCCCTCTTTGAATGCCTTGAGTATCTCTTTTTTCCTGTTCTCAGCAGAAAACTGGTCTGAAGGGCTTCAGCTGACACATGCCTGTCTGCCAGAAATGGCCTAAAGAGTCCCACCAAAACACAATGAAACCATAAAGGCTTTGCCTGAGCTATGTCTTTAAGTTACTGCACCCTGCTTATGAACCTGTTTTAGTGTGTAACCTCAGCTGTATAACCCACACCTAGGCGTTTCCGTGTCTGGGATCAAAGTCTAGTTTTAATAGCACAGCTGCATAAGCTTCTGAGAAGAGAACTATGGTGTGAGAAAAAAAGCAAGATTAGAACCAAGAAAGAAAGGAAAGGTATGATTTCAGACAGTGATGGGGTGCATCTCAAGGTTTCAAAAGCAGAAACAACAACATGAAAAGGTATAAAATCCTAAATAAAAACCAAGGAGTCAGAAAAAGGCAACTTGGCAGCACTGAGGATCTGCCTGTTCCAAGCAGCAATAGCACCAACCCTTCTCTGCCTGACTGCTGACTCCCTGGCTGTTGAGGACTCAGCAGATGTCTCATTGGAGGTAGTGAGTGTATTAATGCTAAGCCTAGTAGATAACTAGCCTTAGCTATTTATTTTGCATTAAGAGTAAATATTTGCATTAAAAGTAAATAACAGCTTTATATTTTGCAGTTGCATATATCTTGTTTGCAAAGCCTTTTACTACACAGTAAAAGATGCTGTAACAAGGTGAGGCTTGGAGCAGGGCATAGGAAAAACAGCATTCCTGTGCTAGTGAAAGGATTAGAGCAATGCAGCTGAGAGTGTTTTCTGTTTTGTAGCAATGTTTGTTTATCTGTGAAACCAAACTGAATTTTCTAGTATCTCATGGGTGAGCTACAGTGATCGATACTTCAGAATCCTTTTACATCACTCTGCTTTTTCCACCTTGCAGAACAAGCACACACTGAAGGCTGGCTGTGGAAAGGAAGCCCATGGTCCAGGCTGGTACTGTGCTACACTCAGGGGAGCTGCTTAGAAGCAACATTGTCTTATGTGCTACCAGAAAATGCATTTTGTCATTGCATAGCTGAAACCAAGGGTTGCAAGGTTGAAGCCTTATGCCTTGCCCTTAACAGCAGTCCTTGTTCCTGTTGCACACTGCCATACTGGGAGGTATTGTCTAATGTTCAGATGGACTGGACTCAACCAGATTAAAGGATGCTTTCCAACACCAGTCTCCCACATTTATCCCTCCATACTGTCACATGACTGTCCCACTCCCAGCTGTGATAATTTTGCCTGTTGAAGCAGCCACATGCCTACTTCTTGGGTCTTAGATTTGGTGAAGCAGCCCTAATTCCCTCATTGCAGATAAACAGGGTGTCTCAGCAAGCACAGTCCATGTCCTACTGTGTGTGTTTCTGATCATTGCAGATACACAGAGTGTCTCAGCAAGCAGAAAGTCCATGTCCTACCGTGTGTTTTTCTGATCCTATCCACCAGAAAACGAGCTTCCTCCTGGATTCGCTCCTCTATGCTCTTCTTCCCCATCCCAAAATCACGCAGGGTGGTGAGTGCAAATCGTCGCAGCTGCTTCCAGGTCTCCCCATTGCTGGTCACAATGCCTGACACAGGAAGGAAAAACAGCTAGTGTTTTGTTCTAGTGTTTTATTGCTAATTTGTATGAATGATGAAAATAGTAAATAAAAATCACCATTCCCTCCTCCACTGCCCTCCAGTTGTGTTCCTGAAGCCCTGAAAGCATCAGCTTTGTAAGTTAACATTGCTAGGGACATACCTGCCCCTTGGAAGAGTTTCTCAAACAATGGTAAAATGCTTCTTCCACTGAAGTCATCTGCCTGATCAATGAGAGCTTCTTTCACCACATCAGAGCCATAAAGCACCACAGCCTTTCTTGGACCGAAATGTATTGTGAAGATAGGACCATACTTCTTGCTGAGCTGCAGGAAAAAGGAATGTGAAGAACAACATCTTTCAATGTTAATCATGTGAAAAGAATTTCCTAGCAAAAGGGCCTGAAGGGTGATGGAGCCTTTGTCCCAGCATCACTGAAACACGGTGTTGTTTAGCAGCAGTGTAGAGAACTTTCAGCTATGAATTGCAGCCAAGGGAAGAGGTAATTGTACAAGAAATAAGGTACATGAATGGAAACAGTGAGGTGTCAAGTCTGAATCCCAGAAAAGAAAATAGTTTTTCACAGGGCTGGCAAAACAGTCTGGAATGTCTTTCTACAGGGCTCAGTGGATGACAGCTTACAGGGACTCAAAAAACAATTCTATACACTTATGGAAACCAGTGTCTGAACAGTTTCTCAGTACAAACATATCACAGTTGTCTCAAAAATCTCCTGGGCCACAGATCTCTGGAAACTGTGGATCAGCAGAGAAACACCTCATCCTTGCACTAGTCATGTACTCTCCTACGCATCTGCTTTTAGCTACAATTGAAGAAAGATTCTTTGGCTTCTTGGTCCAATGCAGAACACTTCCTCTCATGCTTACTTTTTAAAAGTAAGCTAAATATCATCCCAGTATTTTTTTGAGAGAAACTGAATCACCTGTTGCTCTGAAACAGAGAAGGAGGCCTGAGGGTGCTTATGAATCTCTATGTTCAAAAGCAACAAGACAAAAAGGAGTGTGGGTATGTGTGTGTCTGATGATACACACAGTGATGCCAGCCATCACCACAATTTTGCGCTGAAGAATCCAGTGACACCACTTCTTTCTATCCATCTGCCACCTTCCCCTCACAATCCTCTCAGAATGAGGGACTCCAGCTGAGCTCCCTCCACCTATCTCCATTCAGGCCTTGCAACATACAGGTGGTGTTTGACAGATGCATTACATCAGCCAGGGCTGGAATGGACAGCACAGATCATCTCCAAACTTTTTTTCTTCAACTGCTTCACTTGCTACTTCCACTCACAGGAGATCCTACCTGTCTGCTAGGGAGCAGAAGCAGCAAAATGGAGCAGGGTCCTCCCAAAAAAAGAGCCAGGCCATGCTGCCAGAGTGGCGAGGAGTTGGGCGCAGGAGGAGTATAGTGAATATTGCAATAGCATCAGTGTCTTGATTGCACATGCACTGCAAATTGCAGTACTGCCATGAAGGCAGCAGAGGAGTCATCCTTAGTGTGATTACTGCAAATATATAGACTTAGACTTGCCATATACTGATTTAAATCTATAGATTATTGCAATATATACACTTCAGAAGCACATATTTCTGGGAAACCTTTTGTTTCTGTTTGACATTTGGTCAATGCAAATTTAGGTAATGAATAAAGCTGAGACATTCTGGACTGGACTTTGGTTATTTTTGTATGCAGTGGAGATAACAGAGGAAAGGAGACAGTCTCTTACCGTCTTCAAGCTTTCAGCCAAGTTCATCGGGTTCAACTGGAGAATGTTTCCAAGAATGGGGAGACTGATGGGACCAGGCGGTTGCTTCTCTTTTTGTGATACACTTCTCCATGAGGAAAAGAGAAGAAGGCATAAGATGCAGACCAGCAAGAAAATAGTGGTCATTCCCAGGAGCTCCATGTTGCTCTGAGGAAGAGAAGTTAAGTGTCAGAAAAGCCTGATGCTGCCCTGTAAAGCCGTACTCATTTATATGTTATGCTAACAAAGCACATGGATGAAATTGCAGGAGATTACTTATTAATCTGCTCAAGATAAGAATGACAAATTAGAGATGAACTCCTTCTTTGCATACTGAGTTTTTTGTTTTCTTTTGAGGAATCATTGCTGTAGGACTAAAGAAATCATATCCTCATGCTGTCAAACAAACTCAAGATGCAGAAATACTTAGAGCCTACCTACTATGCGTATGCTTAAACTTTTGCTTTTTGTCCTCATGCATAGGTTGGTATCTGCCAGCCACTCCAGTATCTGAGCACAATGGAGGGAGGTATTGTGGCTGAAAAAGGTCATCACTTCAAGTTCTTCCCAGGTATTTCACCTCCATTTCTGGAATGTAATTGTGCAATTGTATCCAGGTTACACATGAAGATTTTGAGGAATACACTCAATTTGTCATAATGTGATGTTTTAACCAGACAAATCATCCTGTCTATAGCATTTGCATGGTCACAGGTTCTCCTCAAACCACAGATTCCTGTAGCATCCTGCAGTGTCCTTCATTTCATGCAGTTTCTAGAAACTAGTTGAAGAGCCACAGAAGGTGTGAAGATCTATGAAAGGTAAAGGCACCTTGAACAGCCTTAATAGAATTATTGGTTTAATTAATATTGAGTATTTAATATGAAGTCAAATCTTAAATTAAATGTTATGCTTCCCACTTCTCCTCCCCATAGCAACCCAAAACCCTAACAGGTGAAAACTGTGTCTGTTTCCTGAAAGAGCAGTAGAGCACAACAGTGATTCAGTTACCCGAGACGGGAGAGCTGATCCCAGGACTCCATTGCCAGATCTGGTCTGTACATCATCCATAGTGTCTGTATGGAGAAGCACGGAGGAAACATCACTGTACAAGGGGATGTGCAAGGCACTGCATGTTCAGCAGACACTCAGGCTTTCTGCTAGCCAGGGCTGGGAGGATGATGTCTTCTTAAAACTAAGTAGGTATGGGAAGGGGTCTGAATAACAGATACACCTTTCCTAAACTAGACACTAAATAGCATAGCCTAGGTAGTAGTGCTGTAAGTGCTGTAGTGCTGTAAACCAGTAAACCAGTAGGTACGAGGTAACAAAAAGGAATTATATTATTTTCTGGTGCTGCGTAAATGTCAAGAGGATGAATTAGTGTTTGGTTATTAAGGTTAATTAATGTTACTAAACTTGACTTTTGTGAGTCATGTAATAGTCAAAAAGCAAAGTTAATTCTGACCCAGTGAAGTCCCAGTAAGGAAATAAATAAACAAGGGAAGAGGACAGGGGTGTAGAGAGTGGAAGCTGATAACTCCAGCTTAAGGAAGGGAATTCCAGTAATATTACTTAAGTAAAAAACAATTAGTTTTGTCACTCTGTAATAAAAAAGACACATTAAATTACTCTTAAACTCACTCTGAGAATCAATGCCAAGGGATATTATTTTCATATTCATCTCTGAATATGAAAAGGTCAGATATTTCCTACCTATGAAAGTGGTGCTCAAAGACAATGCAGTGGACAATGCTGGCAAGAAAATGGTCAAATGTAGTTAATCTGTAGCAAAAATCTCCCTGGACTGCTCTATTTGAAACAGATTGAGGGGTGAGAAGTCTCCATATCTATGCTGCCTGGGTAGATCTTGCCCCATAGAAGAGCCCTTCCCCATCACTCAGTAGGCTCTGGCTGCACTCTAATCACTCTCTCGCTCTTCACCTCAGACACTCGGGTCTCTGCCCAGCACCAGTCAATAGCAGGTGAGGACTAAATGGGTGTCAGTATCTTCTGCCAGTCCCTCTTCTTCTCTGCACACTGAATCACAGAATCACAGAATGTCTGGAGTTGGAAGGGACCTTAAAGATCATGGAATTCCAACTCCCCTGCATGGGCAGGGACCCCTTCCACTAGAACGGGCTGCTCAGAGCCCCATCCAACCTGCCCTTGAACACCTCCAGGGATGGAGCCCCCACAACACCTCTGGGCAGCCTGTTCTCCACCTGTCTCACCACCCTTACACTGAAGAATTTACACCTGGTCTCTAACCTAAATCTCTCTTATTTCAGCTTAAAACCGTTACCCCTTATCCTCTCACTGCAAGCCCCTGTAAAAAGAAAAGCTATTAAACTCTAACTACCTTCAGATAGGACTTTCCTTAGTGAGTTGTAGAAAATCACAATATCAGCCTCTGCCCTATTTCTGACAGCAATCTGACAAAGGATCTGTTTTGATCAGCATGTATAAGGTTCAGCATCCAACAGTTTGTGTAACACCCATATTTGTAACATGCTACACAAGTAGTGCCAGAGATAAGACACAAACCACATAATTAGTTTTCAGATCACAGAAGTGACATTTGACCACCCAGCTCAAAAACCTTGGTTAAATATTTGTGTATGAACTCCCGGGACCCAAGACATAACTCAGCTGAAAAGGATGAGGCCAATGAAGTTCATCAGTCGTGTGCAATACTGCAATTGCTTAGTCTCCAAAAGGTCAAGGCTGAAAACAGCTTTTCTCTGACCTGTGTGGTGACACCACCACCAGTAAAATCACTAATTGCTGCTATAACCCATCATCTTTGAACAAAGCCAAGGTGCTTATCTTTAGACTATAGTCAGCCTTAAGAAAGAACAAATCCTTCCTCAAGCCAGGCAGAAAAAAGTCAAGAAATGGGAAAAGTCTGTCCCAGTGCTATACATGGTAAAGTGAAAGCTGACAATATGCAAAGAATATGACTGAGCTTAGTTGGGTTCCTGAGATGCTGCTCCCAGCTGGCTCCATGGGCAGTGGAGCTCTTCCTGAATCAGCTGCAGAACTACCCTGGTGTACAGCAGGCAATCTGAAAGGTCCATGACCTGGGAAATAAAGTAATGGGGCAACTTTATCAGATGTCCCCACCTGTGACATGATGTCAGGCCAGAGCTCCCACCCTGCCTTTCCAAAGGCTAAGCAAGTACAAACAGGCCCTAAACAGACCTGCTGAAACATGGGCTGGGGCCTTATCTTGTGGCATTCACCAACTTTAAAAGTTGCTTATCATTGTCACAAAATAAAATGGCAACATGTAACTTGCTGATAGGCTGTATATTCTGAAAACAGTACCCATCATAAAGAAAAATACCTCAAGTGACAATTTAAAATTCAAGAAAAAGTCAGCAATCATCAAGTAACAAAACCTTTGGCTATACTTGGTGACGTCAAGTAACTATAATGATAAGATATAAGAAATCATGCATTAAAAATGTGAAGAAAAAAGTAACTGATGTTAATCCCAATTATATAATTTAGGCCTTCATTCTGCTTTTCAGTCCTGTCAGAGACAGAAGTACAGACGTAGCAGAGTAGTTTGGGAAGATAAAGGAGAAAATTAGAGGAACAGAAGAGTCCTAAGAAGTGATCCCACCATCAGTGCTGGACCATTCTAGCAGGAGGATAGTGGTGGAAGAGGATTCTTCTCTGTGCTGGCACTATGGCCCTGTTAATTGTGTAGAAAGTCGGGCTTTAGCAATTTTCTCAAAATCATGCAGGAAGCCCTCAGGGATATACAACACCAGTGCCTCTGGGAGAACACACTCCTGGCTATTCTTCTCATCAGCCTGGTTTTCCAGAGAAGCTCACACAGATGGATTCACATCCTACTACAGTTGGGAGGCTCCAGTTTTTCTAATGGAGAATATTCTGGAAACCAGCAGCATTTTAACTTCAAGTTTACAGGTATTGGTATCCATCAGTGAGGTTTTTGACCTAACCATGCCAAAACACAGGAAGCACAGTAAAAGTGTAAATCACATCTCCTGATTCTAACAAAGCATTTCCCAATGCTAACCAAGGAAATGTAGAAAACTTGAAAGAAGGATTGTGTCAGAAAATGGAAGAAAGTGGGGGAAGGGTGTTTAGTATATTACAAGTTCAAGACAAATGCAGACAGCCCAGGGCAGGGTGGATGGCACTGCCTGGAAGAGGCCTTTCTCTGTAGAATCAAAGCCAAACTGGTGAGCATGCAGTGGGGCTGTGGAGTACAAGGATGGGGACAGGTGAGACAGGGAGGACCAGTGGTTGCCTTGGCCAAAGACACTGGGTCACTCCCTGTATGAGGGCTGCCTACACCTGCTGCATGGTGAGAGAGGGAAAAGGAGAATTTGCAGGGCTGACGTGGAGTTTTTGGGATGTATTTTCTACTCATCACAGTGGAAGCCAGTTATGAAATGCTCTGGCACTGAATGGTGAACTGACACCGTTTGTGACCTGCACCGCAGGAGGAACAAGAACTCTCATGACCTCACAAGCTGTACCTGGATAGCAGATGAACAGCCAGTGCTTTTCTGGCAGGACACAAGCAGCAATAGCTTGAAAGGCAAAATAAAAGATGAACTTAAATTTCAGATGAAAAGATGAACTTACAGCCAGAATTCACTCAAATAAATCAAACTATGGGTGTACATAATGCTGAACTGAGTTTTTTTCCTAAGCTAATCCTTCTATCTGAGTTTCATTTATTGTTTGATAATGGTTCAGAGCCCACAGCAACTATCCTCTGCTATGCTCGCTGTCCAGATTTGGGTCTTCATTCTCTTACTCCAACCCACAGCCAAAGAACATAAGAAGATCTTCCAGTCCCCCAGCACTACAAGTTTAATGCATGGGAGCATTGGGTGAACAAGGCCCAGGTAAAGCCTCTTCTGCTGCAGCTCTCATCCTTGCCTTCCTTAAGTGTTAAAGGTGGCTCACCCTCTCCTCCCAGCCATCATGTTCTCCTGCTCATATCACCTCCATGGGAAATTATAGGCCTAATACATTCTCTCTCATAAACATGAAAGATGTCCACTATCCTTTGGCTTAAATACATTTGGAACAGTGAAAGAGGAGAACATCAACTATGATTTATTTTCCCCACTTGAGAGGTGGGAAATATGTGACATTTCAATGAAATATTG